TAAAATATTTCTAATACTTCATTTTATGGTAAATAAAATATGGGAGCAAGGAAAGCCATCAAGGATCTTTGAGAAACAAACTTTGGTAAGTCAACCCAAACTAATTTATTCACAATTTGGCAACATTTTTGAATAATGGACTCATGAGAACTTAACGGTTCCTGCATTATAATCCCACCCCAGTACCTGTGCTTGATATAGGTCATCTCCCTCTCAGGTCACACATGGCTACTGAGCATCTCCTGCATCAGGCACTGAAGGGACAAAAACAGATGAAATCTCTCGCAGGTCCATGTGCTCACAATCTCTAGAGTCAGTCTTCTCACTTCCCACTTTTAATTCTGTTATTTGTAAGAATGTCATGTAAAAGTAGCACACCAACCACTGGTGCCGACAAAGCCAATTCATCACTTGTTTATATGACTCCATGCTCCAGACAGACACATGTCAGGCATCGTGCCAGTTATGGGTTTTGTCTGACTGAGATCAAGAGAGAGAAAAAATAAAAATTGAGAACCATGGTCTAGTGTCTGTGTTCATGGTGAAATGAGAAAATCCAACACAACAAATAACAAGAGGTCAGGAGACCACAGGTCATATATACTGTGTATAAAATACACTGGAGACACAAAGCAAGTAAGTGCTTAGGAAGTTGAGGGAGATGTCACTCACGAGGTTACAGATAAAGCTGAGTCTTGAAGAAATGAATTTAACAAGAATAGCATCACAGAAGGGCAGAGAATGACATTTCTCAGAAGTATGAAATACTCATCTGTGGCAGCAGTGTGAGGGAGAATATGGAAAACAGACTGGAAAAGTGATTTAAATTCCAAAGGCATCCCTGCAAGTTGCCCAGGGACTCTCCCATATACAAATGAGTCACAGAATATCTTCAAAGATTTGCATTTTGGAAATCTAAAACACTGGTGAGGACAATGGATGGGTAAAAACCAGTGGAACTAGTTGAAATTTGCTTAAATTGTGAGGAACAAGTTCTAAAGGTTTTTCCTTAGTGAGCATTGAGATTTGTAAAATTCCCCATCCTCTAAAATCTGCACTCAGACCACATCAGTATTTCCACTGTGTGTGTTGCTTGTGAGCACGCTATTCATTCAACAGATGATATTTACACTGCATAATGGGAATACAGTGAGTAAAAACAAATATAATTCTTTCTTTAACAAGTATATGATCTGGTGCAGGAGACAGCCTTATGAGAGAATTATAAAGAGAAGCCATATTTGAGCTATCACAAAAATGTGAGAAACCCAAAACAACAGCAATCACTAGGAAACAATTCATAGCCCACAAAAAGAGCAAAAATTTGAAATTCCCTTTACAACATCCATAGAATAAACAGTTTAAGGAAACAAATCTGTTTGACAGTACTCTATTTCTTCACATGGTTCACAGTACAAGAGAATCCAGGAAAAAAAAAAAAAGTACCCGGAATACAATCTTTTACCAACAGTAGGCATTTAACAAATGTTCGAGTAATTCCCCACTTTCTTCACCCTTCAAAATCTAGGAGAAATATTTATTTTCATGCAAATCATTTTTCCCAGTTTTCCTAAATCATGTGCCAAAGATCTGGTAAAAGTCATTGGCAACTGAAAATCTGGCCTATTCTCATAGATGTCTGGACTGAGACTTTAAACATCTAATTTATGAGAGAGATTTTCGAGAACACTTTTTAGCCTTCCCTGCATACTTCCAGCTTGTCAGTTTTGCTGCCAAAGCATAAACACTTTTAAGAAAGAAAAAAGGCATTGAGCAGAATATTTTCTTCTCTTATAAATTAAACCATTTAACAGATGACCTGGAGGAGAAAGAACAGCAAATTAAGTGGAATCTAAGGTCCACTCAATAGTGATAATAAAAAGCAATTGAGGGTAAGGGACACTCACTATCCAATAAACAGCCACTTTTTTTAAAAAGGGCATTTTAAAATAGTGCTAAAATAGAAAACAAAGTTAATAGTTTATGAATCGATATAATTTAGTAAGTCTTTAATTCTTTTTCGTTGCTTTGCTTGCATTTTAACAAATGTACCTTTTTGTACTTATATATGTAAGATTTATCAGAACATCGTTTCACAAAGAGCATCTCTGTCTTGGTTCATCTTTGAGTATTTGGATTTAACAGCTCTTTAGGAGTTCAACATATTAGCTCTTAATCTCTTCTACAACTTATCTAATGGAGTTATGACAGATAGTAATCCACTCCATTACTTCCTCCTGCTTTTCTAAAGCATCTTTCTCCATGTTCAATTCCAAAATAGCCATCCATAGTTACGTGCATTCCTCGACCTTTTGACAGATCTGCATACCAATCCAACAGGTAGCCCTGTAAGGTCATATTGTAAAATAAAAGTTTCATTAACAAATAGTTACTGTCAGCCAGAAATACAAATAGCAGAAAACATGTTATAATCTTACACTGTCATTGATATTGACAGCCCATAAAAACAAAGGTAGTCTTTGAGTTGAGATAGAGTCTCGGCTTGGCTCCGCTGCCTGCCATCCATTTGGCCTTGCAAAAAGCTATTTAGCATTTTTGAAACAGCATGTACTAGTTACTGATAATCATTACATAATCAGTTTCACTCAGGCTAGAGTGTATATAATAGATGGCAAGCGGACAAGATTGGGAAACCACATTGGGAAATCCTTGATAATCTTGAATAATGGATGCTTGGATAGGAAGAGGAAGGCCTCTGAACTTACTTGCTGTAGTTAAATCCCAGATTTTGCACTTAATCAGTTGTGCCAGTTTGAATGTTGCTTATTCTCCCTACACTTCAGTTTCCGAATCGTCACAGGACTGTTGCTGAAGAACAAATAAACTACATACACATCAACTAGCATGCTGCATAGCATAAAAGAGTATAAATGTTTGTTAATGTTATGTGAATGAAAAAAGAAATGAGAATTAACTACAAAATGCTTAGGAAACGGGAATGGACAGCCTGGATACAGGGAAAAGGTTTGACCGGACAGACAAGCTCAGAAAGGGGTACTATCTGGTGAAATGAGAAAGGTGCTTACAGTCTGAAGGAAAAGTGATTATTCCTGAATACACGCATTGTCGGAGATTTGCCAGCATGCAGGTGAAATGCTGCATATAGCTACTTAGAGCTCTGAAATGAATGAAACAGACCAAGACTGGATATCTGAGATTAAGGAGCCGTTAGGTCCACGGGCAATCATGAACCTCCCAGAGACTATGCAGAGAAACAAATGATGACTCCAGGGAGAATCTAAGCCGCATCAACATCTAGAGAAAGGACAGGCAAGGAGAGGGGATGGTGGCACACTGGTTCCAACACCTATATCCCATATCAGAATGGTAGGATAAAGTGTGGCCTCCACTGTCAATCCATCTTCCTGTGAATACACCTAGGAAGCAACAGATCAGATGGCCCAAGAACCTGGGTTCACGTATCTGACACTTGCATTTAGCCTGGTACAGCCCAGCTGTTGCAAGCATTTGAGGATTGAACCAACGGATGAAGATCTTCCTGTCACTCTGCCTTTCAAATAAATCAATAAGCTGTTTTATAAAAGAATGGGTGGGCAAGGGAAGAAAGTCCTGCAAAGCACAAGGAGCAAGCAGCCAGAGAAGTTAGAAAAGCAAGAGGCATTAAAAACTGAATGAAAAACAGTATTTCAAACAGGCAGTATTTCACGTCAATACTGCCAAACAGTGAAATAAAAACAAGAATTTTCACCAGGTGTAGCAACAAAGTCGCTCATCCACATAATAAATGCCTCAAGCATTATGCCAGGGCTTTGAAATACAGACATGAATAAGCAAGACCCTAACACAGACTCTGCTGTAAAAATAGATGTACTTGAGCAAGTAAATTAAATACCAGTATTATGTGTCAAGGACCATAAGTACAGTGACACGATGGAATAAAGGCTAACTTCAGATAGGCAGTTCAGGATGATAACATCCCAGAGGAGGGAAAATTTAAGGCACCTAACGCAGGAGGAAACACATGTGACTACAGCAGATAAGGAAGGGGTGGAGAGAAGCTCGAATGTGTTTATACATCAGGCTGAGGGCAAGGTAAGAGTGGATGATCACAGCACTGAACTTTCTAAGAAGGGAAGTGAGTTCAGACCAGTCTAGCCAATGATACTGAATAGTTTCATTTTCCTCATTGATATTAGTCTTAATAATCAGAAATAGGACATTTTACTATCCTTTCAAGCACTACCTATTTAATCTAACAAGCTAAACTTCTCTGTTTTAAAGGATACTACACAATTATAAGCATATTACTTACTTCATTAGTTTTACTTATCCTCTTTAAAGTTTTCTTCCTCACTAATATTCCTCTCATATATTTCCTATAACATCTGCTTGGTTCTATCATTAAATTATATTTTTCTTAGGTGCTCACTTTTAAGCAATGTACATCAGAATTTGAAAGTTTCATATAAGGAGTCTATACATTTCATATAGGGATTCTACACATTTCCAGTAACACAAATGAACTGGTGAAATTGTTTAAGAAAAATTATGTTCCAGTTTGTTTCTTATTTCCTTAACCTAAATATTTACATACATACATACAATAAAGTTGATATATGAAACTTATTTGTTTCATTTAAGCAGCTGAATTTTCATTCATTTTAAGTTTTGTTATCCACAACATGAAAAATTGTATGGCCATTCCATATTAACAATGCTATCAACAACAAATTAATTACTTAGTATCTACAACTTATCAGGCAGTGACCTAGGTTGATTACATAGCCTACTTTAAACCATCCCAATACTCCTGGAAAAAAATATATAGTATTTCTTTCATTTTACAATCTCATGTGTAAGGTGACTAGCCCGAGACCACAGAACTGGGATTGAAACCCAATTCTGTATATTTGAAAACTATGGTCATTATATTAGGATGCTCAGACTTGGTTTTTCAAAAACACCTATCAGATGAGAGATATTAAATCAAAAAAATGAAATTTTAAGTGATAAAAATGTTTTATTCAATCTTTATTAAACTGTGTACAACTTAGGAACATTAGCCATACACACCATTATTTCTTATTCACCCTTTGGCGTTAACAGTTTCAAATTCTTAATATTAGAGAAAAGAGACAAAAGAAAACTACAAAAGATAATGACACTGTATTTAACGTCCATGATTTATTATCATGATTCTAAATCTTTTCCAGCTTATACTTAGCATGTGTATTAATTCCAATGATTTATTGGCAATTAACTGCCTATTCTCACAAAACATTGTCTCTCAAAAAGATAACAAATGGGCCAAGTTACTCCTTAATCAGAAAAACCTAACCTCTGATTAGAACTTCTAAATCTCCTTAGTTCTCTGAATTTAAAAGGCAACACATCTGAATGTATGCATCATAATTTGCTCTAAGCAGGATCTATGATTGACTGCATTATAAGCCCTTCCTACTAAGACTTTTCAGATAGCCAAAACATCCACCAAGACACTACTTGAAAAAGTCTATAAATATTAACAAAAAGAAATTGCTGCCATATAATCTTTATTTTCCTTAACAAAAATACACACAAGAACACAAAATTCACTTATATGTCATTATTTTACAAGTATAAATAATACTCAGAATTCAAGTAGTCAAGTGCAGAAATATTTCCTATATGTTAATATGTAAACATAAACTAATTATGTACATCATGTGCCTTTGGCCCAGCTGCAAAATAAAAGACACCAAAAAGAAACACTGCACTTGACTGTTCAATTGCATTCCTATTGAGAATTCGTACCAATGTCAAATAGCAACAGTTAAAAAAACTTTCATATCCCTTAATGTAAACACCTAAACACATTTCCCTCCTACTGGCAATATCTCAAGAGATAAAATTCTATTCATTTTTAATGATAATATTCTCCAAATCTTCAGTGTTTTTCATTCCCTTAAAAAAACACTATTAGAGAAGTTGCTCTTAACCAAAGTTCTTCCTATGTCAAAATGGATATTATTTACAAGCTACACATACAGAAAACAATATGATCATCTTGTTTTAGAGTGGACCAAAAAAAAATCTAAAATTTGTCTAAATAGTGTGAGTCTTTGTACATTCAAAACATTCTCCCTTTATGGATATCACTTGCTTTTAATTAACACCTAGAAGATACAACTCTGATATATGGAACTAGCTAGACAATCTGAATTCAAATATTATCAAGCATCAACTCAGAGGTGCAAAAACAGAAGAAATCAAGTACCATCTAAAAACCAGTAACCGACATCAATAAGACTACACATATCCAGTTGAAGGCACGTAGAAGCATTTACTACTCTGTCATTGAAGCTTCTCCACTTAGGTCAGGGTTGGGAATACAATCACGTCTGGCAACTGCAGATTCAGCTTCATTCACTGCTTCCTCACTCTCAGTCTCTTCTTTCTCTTCTGGTTCCTCTGAGATTGACGCGTTTTCAACAACCGGATTTATCTGCTCCGAAGTTAATATTTCTTCATCTATTTCCTCTGTACTATTTTCAAGAACATCTTGCTCTTTTAAAGGTTCTGAAAAGAAAAAGATTTAAGACTTTGAGAATATCCAATTGTTTAAACTATTAAATGAGGTGAATAAAGTATACACACAAAAAGGCTAAAATAGAACAGTCTAGCAATGTCCTTAAAAATCTTTTAAAATAAGTACTTAACTTCCTATATCCCTACACCATTCAGAATGTTACAGAACTCCAAGGCAGAAATGCAGTTAAGTCACTTGAATGTTACTATTTGAGAGTCACAAGCAGAAAATAAAAGGAGAGAGGGCAAATGAAAATCTACAGACATTTGCAGACCAATTTTGCTCAAGGGCAACCAAGTGCTACCATGGAAAGCTTCCAGAGCCATCAATCAATCGTAATCCATGCTCACAAAATTTACCCAGGGGAAAATTGTAAGAGTCATAGTTTCATACAACTCTTCTGTTACAGAACAATACTTAATAGGCAAAAGTTCTACAATTTGCTATAGCTTAACAAATCTTCTTAAGCAAACCAATAATGTCACACAGAGTTAAAAACCAGAAGCTCAGAATTTAGGATTCAACTCACCATTGTACATGTTTAAGTGAACACAGGCCTGGATAGATAATAATACTCTGACAAATTTTCTCAATACTGTACTGAAACAGGAGAGGTACCAAAGTTCAAGGTTTATTCTATTAAAATTTTGGTATGTTACTATTTTTCAGGAAGAGACACTTAACTACTAGCCAAAGCAATTAAATTAAAAAACTTCAGAATGACCAAAATTTCCACTAAATGTTACATTTCAGATTTAGAATACATGAAAAGACAAAAAAACTACTGCAATGATGGCACTGACTGAAAGGAAGGGTATTGAGGGAAAGAATGGGGATAGTGTGGCTATCATCTTAGAATTTTATGTATAAATCTGTTCTTTCATTAACAAAAAAAAGTGTTAACCAAATCAGCCCAGTGCCCATAGCACTGTCAGTTAAGTGTCTGTGTGCATTACTGTCTTCCCAAATGGCGCCCATTCACATAACAGCTGCTCCACTTCCCATCCAGCTCCCTGCTAATACCCCGGGAAAGCAGCAGAGGATGGCCCAAGTGCGTGGGCCCCATGTGGGAAACTTAGAAAAAGCTCCTGGCATCAGACTGCCAAATTCCGGCTACTGTGGCCATTTGGGGAGTGAACAACAAATCGAAGATCTCTCTTTCTGTGTCTCCCCTTCTCTCTCTGTAACTCTGCCTTTCACATGAAAACAAATTTTAACAATAATACAGCATATTTATGGCTACTTTTTTTTCCCCTTTCTCTATTCGTTTACAAAAAAACCCCCACATGTTTTAAAGATTTATTTATTTTACACTGCAGTTAGATATACAGAGAGGGGGAGAGATAGAGATGAAGATCTTCTATCCGATGATTCACTCCCCAATCAACCACAACAGCTGGAACTGAGCCAATCCAAAGCAAGAAGCCTATAGCCTCTTCCAGGTCTCCCACATGAGTGCAGGGTCCCAAAGCTTTGAGCTGTCCTTGACTGCTTTCCTGGGCCACAAGCAGGGAGCTGGATGGGAAGCGGGACTGCTGGGATTAGAACCGGCGCCCATAGGGATCCTGATGTGCTCAAGCTGCTAGGCCACTACGCCAGGCCCGAGAAACAATTTTTTTTAAAAGACTTATTTTTACTTGAAAATCAGAGCTACAGAGAGAAAGGGAGAGACGAGAGAGTGAGAGGGAGGGATCTTCCAGCCACTGGTTAATCCCCTAAACGGCCACAACACCCAGAGCTGAGCTGGTCTGAAACTAGAAAATTACCCATTTTCTTCTGGGTCTCCAATAGAGGCCCAAGGCCTTAGGCCATCCTCAATTGCTTCCCTAGGCCACTAGCAGGGAGCTGGAGTGGAAGTGGAGCAGCTGGAAATATGAACCAGCACCTATGTGGGATGCCAGCTCTGTGATTAGATTACAGTGTCAGCCTCAGAAAAACAATTTACTAGCAGTTACACTGTAAAAAGTTGTTGATATCAGTCAGTTTGAGAGAGACGGGCTTTTGATATAATTTTGTAAGAAGTAATTCAGGGACTGGCACCATGGCATAGCCAGTTAAGCCTCTGCGTGCAGTGGCAGCATCCCCTGTGGGAACCAATTAGAGCTCAGCTTGCCCCATTTCCAATATAGTTCCCTGCTAATGTACTAAAAAAGCAGTGGAAGATGCCCAAATGCTTGTATCCCTGAACCCACACAAAAAAACCAGAAGAAGCTCCTGTTTCCTGAATTTGGACTGGCCCAGCCATGACAATTGTGGCCATTTGGGGAGCGAACCAGCTAATGGCAAATCTTTCTCTTTCTGTGTCTTCTCTTTTTGCAACTCTGTTTTTGAAGTAAAAATAAAATACTTTTTAAAAAGTAATTCAAATGAGATCTGAACAAATTAAGTGTAAAATTTCATAATTAAAGCGCAGTACTCGTAATGAGATTTACTCAACTGTTTCAAAAGTATTAATTTTGTTTCTACGGAAGAGCATTATTTGCCCATTCTAATAAAAACAGTGCATTTTTCTCCACTACACAACAGATGGGGAACTAATATCCAGAACTTACAAAACTTCAGATACTCAACATAGCAAATCAAACAACCCTGTGAAGAAATGAGTGAAGAACATGAACAGACATTTTTCAAAAGAACAAGTTCAAATGGCTAACATGAAAAAATGCTAAGGTTCCCAGACGTTAGGAAAATACAAATATAAACCACACTGAGGTCCTACCTAACTCCAATGAGATTGGCCTACAATGAGAAGTCTAACAACATCACCTGCTGGGCATATAGGGGAAAAAGACCCTACTCCACTGTTGGTAGAAGTGTAGACTAGTGGAGCAATTATGGAAGTCAATATGGAGAGTGCTTTCCAACTGAGAATTCATCTATCATACCAACCACTCCTGGGAATGTATTTAATTGAAGTAAAATATGTGTGTACGAAAGCAACCTAAAACCCTGTGTTTATAGCAGCACAATCCACAATAGTGAACAAACAGAAACAATCCAGATGTCTGTCAACAGCTGGTTGGGTAAAGAGACTGTGGTACATCTACTTTATGGACTACTACTCAACCATAAAAATTGAAAACCTATCATTTGCAACAAAATGGTTCCAAATGCAAACCATCATGCTTAGTGAAATAAGCTAATTCCAAAAGGACAAATACGTTCTCTTTGATATAAACAGACTTTAGGGCCTGGTGTGGTGGTCTAGCAGCTAAAGCCCTTGCCTTGAGTGCACTGAGATCCCATATGGGCACCAGTTCTAATCCCAGTGTCCCTGCTTCCCATCCAGCTCCCTGCTTGTGGCCTGGGAAAGCAGTCGAGGACGGCCCAAAGCCTTGGGACCCTGCACTCACATGGGAGACCTGGAAGAGGCTCCTTGCTTTGGATTGGCTCAGCACTGGCCATTGCAATCATTTGGGCAGTGAATCATTGGATGGAAGATCTTTTTCTATACCTCTCCTCCTCTCTATATATCTGACTAAACAAATATATACATATAGTCTCATAATGTATAGTGCAGACTAGCACAGCAGGAAGTAAGGATATGCTGCAGGACACATCTCTACTCCTCGATAAAAGTAGGACTTCCAACGGAACATTTAAAAATAAAGTATGACATTCGATTTACTGTCTTTGACTATACTTAACAAATCATGAAACATTTAAATAGTAGAAAGTTAAACTTGCAACTGTTACTAAGGAACTATATACTGTGATAATGCAGGGGAAAATGGGGGGAAACAAGGAGAGAGAAACTGGAGGTGGAGGGATAAATCCCTATACCTACAAAACTGTATCATGGAAAATAATAACTTTAAAAGTACAGTTTTCCTCATATAGTTTAAAATAGCTTGGTTGAATAAAAAAACATTTCAGAAGATGTTAATATTTGGGCATAAAACACTAAAAGAGAAAGCAGTCTTTACATTAACACTAACTAAACTGCTACTTATCCCTGCATGACACAGTTTAAGAATATCACTTACAAAAAATGACCTAATTCCACCTGTAAGAAAAATTTTTAATTAACTTTGGCAGACACAATATCAAGAAAGCAACATATTCATGTGATTAAAAAACAAAAACAAAAACGAAATTTTCTTCTTTCCCCTATGCTCTCCTAATATTCTTAAGGGAAAAACTTGTATCAGTTGTTTGGGCAAAGCTTGAACTCTGCTAGACAACTCATAAAACTGAGTATAATCATATAATGAATACCACTGCCTCACTAAGCCACACACATGCAAAAACAGGCAAGAACTTCACCTTACCTTTAGGTTTTTAGCACAGCTCTTGAAAGAACAATTTGGAAGGAAATCATAGTCTAGCAGCAAAACTGCTCCACTTATTTTTGCTTTAATAACATTAAAATTGCACCCTGTGGGCCCAGTGCAGTAGCCTAATGACTAAAGTCCTCGCCTGAACTTGCCAGCCCATATGGGTGCCAGTTCTAATCCTGGCAGCTCCACTTCCCATCCAGCTCCCTGCTGGTGGCCTGGGAAAGCAGTCAAGGACAGCCAAAGCCTTGGGACACTGCACCCACGTGGGAGACCTGGAAAGAACTTCCTGACTCCTGGGTTCGGATCAGCGCAGCACTGTCCATTGCAGTCAGTTGGGGAGTGAAATCATCGGACAAAGATCTTCCTCTCTCTCCTCCTCTCTGTATATCTGACTTTGTAATGAAAACAAATCTTAAAAAAAAATTTGCACCCTGCTAACATGTCAGCACTCACTTGTTGGGTAGATTATAAACTAACCCAAAGGAACTTTGTTAAATTAAAATTGACAGTCTGTCTTTGAACTTGAATGTTTTAAAGAAGGAAGTTTTTACAAGATTTTCATGCCTCAGGGGAAATGCCTAGTTACATTTAAGGAGCAAAAGTATAGCTTTCATCCCAAATCAACATTACGGACTCAACAAAAAAAAAGTCAATTAAAATGCAACCCACATATGAGAAAACAGCTAGTATTCAATACACAGAACACCATTTACCATTGTTGAACAAATCAATTAACCAAGGTATGAGTTTCATTATTAAGCAATGACCTACAACTACACTATTATGTCAAAGTTTTTTAAAAAATGGACTCAGAAAGCCAACATTTCTGTGTAAAATAGACATGGAAAAACCTAGTATAGGAGCAAGTTGATATCTTCAGTAACCTACACATAATTAAACAAATGTATGTTTTTTGGCTCTGATAAATACAACTAATTCAACCAAATTTAGACCATTAAATTGCTCAATTTCTTGGAGCATCAAATAAAAACACTAAAAATAGGAGTTTGCCTTTTTCATTGCAAGTTAATGAAACAGTATTTTCCATAATGAAAAGGGAGGGAAGAACAGAAGTCAAATTATCAAGATAAATTTCACCTTACATAGAGTTAACTAGTCTAGTATTGACTAGATTTCATTCAGTTGAATAAAAGCTGTTTACTATCAAACAAATATGTAAGACATAGACGAGCACAACTGGCAATGAAAACACAATATTAATACTTTTAAACAGCTAGTCATAAAGCTCTTTACTTATATGCATAGAAAGCTAGCATTCTAATGATTATTATATCTAGCAAAAGGATACATATCCAGTCTTTTAGAAATCGTATTTTTTAAAGGCAAAACTGATATTAAAAAAAAATTCAATGTAACTCTACAGAGATCAAAATATTATTACAGTACTCATGGCATCATAACAGAAACTGAGGAATGTAAAAACCTCTTGGTATACTATATCTAGCATTCTCACAGGTGTAAATAAATTCAGTAAGTTTCTTGCATTTGTCTATTATCACAGCAACTGGGTTAACAGTTGTAGAAAGAAAAAAAAAAAACTTTGCAAAAACAAATGAGCAATTAATGGGAGATATTTCTTCCAGGTTTCTTTGATGAAACTTTCCCAAGACTCCATAATGGTGTCCTAAAGAATGGTCCAGAAATTTTTTAAATCCTTCTACCTCACTCTAAAGGCAAACTTTTCCAATCTCAGAATCCAGATAAAACTAAATTTCAAAATCTCATGTAAAAAATTGGGAAATTTCTTCAACTAAATCTGCATATTCATTCCTTCAAGTGGCTACTAATAATTTTTAGAAAAACAATTAAGATAGAAAAAGTTTCCTTTTGATTCCATCTGTGAATTCGCTAATTTCTACATTTGCTGCTGCTGTTGAGGAACTGTCCAAATACATTTTAAAAGTAACAAAGAAAGTGTTCTCAGCTCTCAAAGTTCTACATCATCAGAAACTGAAGTCCCTGGGTACACTGACTATTAGCACAGAGTAGATGAGTGAGATAACATAGTTTTACTATTTTAAACAGTGCTTTTTTTTAGGTTTTGGGGTTTTTTTGGTTTTTTTTGTTTGTTTTTTTTCCGTTTCTTGTTTTTTGTTTTTTGCTGTTGTTAACTAGTGTGTTTCAATCAGGGCATACCACTGGCAATCGAAAAAGTGTAGATTCATCGGTTCATCAGAAATATTTTTGGTAACTTGCTAAAGAAATCCAACTTGGAAGTGGTAACTGTATACACCACAGTACTGAGAAGTCTTGGAAGAAAGTCTGTCTTCTGCAAAGCTCAAGGAGAAAAGGTACTTGTGCAGCCTTGATGAATCCAACAAGAGGCGTGAGAGGCACTACTGCAGAAACTGTCTCAATCAAATGAAATTGTTGCTTCCACTTTTGAGCACTGCAGTAATCACACCCTGCCTCTAATTTAGTCTTCACCTTTCGACATTACCTTATTAGGGTTGAGTTTGAGCCAGTTAGACTTCATTCCGGAGATTTCAGACAGAAAATGAGACATCTGGGATATTGCTCCTCCTAGATTAGATGAGAAGGAAAGGTATAGCTGGTGTTTGCTAACTATCCAACTTGACCTGAGCACAGATAGAAAGCATGGGACTCTTATCAAGATTTTTTATTTTGCTGGCTGTTTTTTCCTTTCTTTTCTTTACTTGGTCCCAATTATTGACTTTCAAACATTTGTTTAGTTTTCCTAAGCAAGTTATTCACGGAAAGGACTTCAACTTTTCCTCTAGGCATCTTCAGTATGAAATTCTTAAGTTTTCCAGTTCCAAGAAGTTGCAAAGGCAAGGCAGATGATTTGTATACGACAGCATGCAGCTCAGAGCATGATTTAAGCAAAAGAAAAAAATCGACACTGTGTTTGGAGTTGACGTTGCCGAGCTGGAGAAGACGAATGCATTGATTCGGTGTTGGAAGTGGATAGGCCTCTGTCAGCGATCTGTGCTCAATTTACTGTGGTATTTGTTAGTAAGCCAAAAAGCCAAGCCCAATTCAACATACATATTTAGGTTCAGTCTTCAAATAAACAAAAAAGGTAATCAAATTTCACAAAAAAGATACTCAAATTTCCTACATCTAAAAACTTAATACCTCATAATATTCCCAGTCAATTTTTGCAATATTTAATGCTTTTTGAAAAATAAACCAAATACAAGTAAATGGATATTCCTAGAAATTAAAAAGGAGGAATACTGATAGGTAAATAAATTATGTGAACTAAAGATCCAACGTACATATTTTCTATACCAGGTATAGCACCAGAATTTTATGGCCCATGTGAAAATTTCAGTATTCTTTCTAACTCAGAGTTGATAAACCAAAAGCCAATCAAATACTAACAGCAGGTATACTTGACAATAGTTAGTTCTTACACATTATCTTTCCACTTCTTAAGTAAAACTTCCTCAAGAAATTACAAAACATTAAACAGAGTCTGATAAATTCTGCTCCTCTAAAATAAGGCAGATTTTATATCAAAGGCAATGTCAATTTCATGGACATCTATGAACTGCTTCATGGAACATCAGTCATGTTGATTACAGTCCTACAAAAACTACAAGGAAGACTCTCAATTTCAAAGTTGCTTGCTTTCTGATCATTTCTACTGATTCAAGAAGTAGACAAGCCTATTTTATCTACAAATCTTACCTCTTTTATCTTATAAATAGTTATCTTCATGGTTCCAATAATCATCTTAACTCAGATAAATTGAAACAATGAACCCATGAAATCAGAACTAGTCAAATCTTCAACAGTTATTAGGAGCGCTCGCTCTCACAGACATTTATCTGGCTAATGCAAGCAGCTGCTTGTCACAATAAAATCTGTATTTTAAAACAAGCACATCACGTGAATCACAAAAAGCTTATCAGAGCAATTGCCGATCCATGCAAATTCAAAATGACAAATTCATTTTTATTAAAAATCATTATGCTTTTATTGTTGTTAAAGAGCACACATTTTCAACAGATAAAGCTATTTAACTGACAATATTTATACCTTCATTAAATTGGTTATCCGGTGGAGGCAAACTTTCAGATGGCAAAGGACCAACTACACTTGGGTCTTCTACAGTCTGCTTCTTCTCAAAACTAAACTCTGGAAGCCTTGGAGCCTGGGGTCTAGTTTTTCTTGCAGGATTCAAGAAAAAACAGTAGGCACACCGAAAAGCTGCAGAAGATTTTTGAAAAATAAATGAAACCACAAACCAAAGTTAAATGCAAGAACTAAATAGATAGGTAACTCAGAAAACTACTTTTCCAAACAAAGTATCCTTCAAGTTCTTAACCGCTCATGAAATTTACACTCTTTTAATAATATTATGGTAAATGTTCAAACCCAAAATAACTAAAGCCCACTTGCTTATTACTAATATTAAAATACTGATTTTAAATCAGAAAAGGCAGAACAAGTTATAGAGCAAGCTACCAGTAATAAAGTACTAACAAGAACAAATTCACTCTGTACAGAGTTTAAAAATGCTGACACAGACATATCACAGATCAACTAAATCAGACTCTGTAGGTGGGTCTTGGTCAAGTCTGTCAGGTGATTTTGACAAACAATATACTATGAAAACAACTAGATGTGCATTGTACGAGGAAGAAATCTGTATTTGCCTTCCTTCCCCTCAGAGTACCTGGCAGTGTACACAGACGCAGTATCCAAAGTAAAATGTTATTACAATGGCATGTAATTAAATAGTCAAGAGTAATATATTTTAATTTAACTGCTCAACACTTCTTACCAATGTATTCAAATTCTTCTTTCAAAGCCATGCCATTATGAGAAAAACACTGTTGACATATAAGTGCATACCTACACCAAAAGAAAAAAACAGATGAGTTAAATGTAGGCAAACATCATGAGAGAGGCTATATAGCTTAGTCTTTCTTGTTGAACTAAATTTTAACATGACTAAATACGCCAAACATGTTAGATATTACTTAGTAAAACATTGACAATACTGTTTAAACAAAAGCCAAAATTAGCCAAAGCCATTTCAAATATTTAAAAATGTAATTTTGGGCTGGCACTGTTGCAAATGGGTTAAGCTGACACCCATTAAGCTGCAATGTCAGCACCTTATATGGGCACCGGTTCCCCATCCCGGCCGTGCAACTTCCCATTCAGCTCCCTGCCGGTACTCTTTGGCAAGCAGTGAGGGCAGACCTGGACAAAGCTCCTGGTTTTGGTCTAGCAGAGCACTAGCCTTTGCAACCATTTTGGGAAATGGAAGAGCAGATGGAAGGTGTTCCCCTCTGTCTCTGCTCCTCTCTCTGTGTAATTCTGACATTTAAATAAAGAAGTAAAATCTTTAGAGAAAAAATTTAATGTAACTTACAAAGTGAATTGAAAATAAGCTGAGCAAGGCCAGTGCAGTGGCATAGCACACTAATCCTCAACCTGTGGTGCTGGTATCTCATGTTTACATGGGTTCATTCCCAGCTGCTCCAATTCAGATCCAGCTCCTTGCTAATGGTATGGGAAAGCAGCAGAAAATGGACCAAAGCCTTGGGCTCCTGCTCCCCCAAAAGAGCTCCATAGGAAGCTCATAGCTCCTGGCTTCTAATAAGCCCAGCTCTGGCTGTGGCAGCCATTTGGGGAGTGAACCAGCAGATAGAAGATCTCTCCCTCTCTCTCGCTATCTCTCTACCTCTTCACTTCTCGCTCTGTTATTCTTTTAAAGATTTATTTATTTTTATTGGAAAGGTAGATTTACAGAGTAAAGGAGAGACAGAAAAATCCTCCATCTGCTGGTTTATTTCCTAAGTGGCCGTGGGAAGTGGAGCAGCTGAGACACAAACTAGACCCCACATAAAACGCCGGTGCATGCAAAGCGAGGACTTTAGTCACTATGCTCTTGTGCTGGGCCCTCTCTCCCTGTATTTAAAAAAAATGAAATAAGTAATAACTAAGTAAGTGTTCCCTTAGTTAAGTGAGCAGAAACATTTAGTAACTGAGGACTAAATTTTTATGTTTCCAAATGTGTATTTCTAGGAATGACAGCTCACAAATTAGTGCTCAGATAAGACTAGAAAAGATAACAGCAGACATCTGACCTGGGGCTGAAGGCACTACGTGGGAACCTCCGGATCCCAATATTTTGTACCACATGTGTTCAAGTCTCAGATCTACTTCCTATTCTAGTTTCCTATTAATGTGCATTCTGGAGAGCAGCTGGTAATGGTCCGAGTGGTTAGGTTTCTGTCCCCCACTTCGGAAGACAATTAGGGTTTTGGCCCCCAGATTCTGCCAAGATTCTGGGCAGTGAATCAGAACATGGGCACACTCTGCTTGCCTATCTGGGCATGTGCCTCTCTGCATGTCAAAACAAAAACAAAAACAAAAACAAAAAATCCCTTTTCTAAGTTGGTAGGGATGGAATCATCTTAAAGATTCATAATAAATATTAAAACATCTGAAACATCCTGCAATTAAGAAATAAATTTCATTTTGCTTAGTACAATTCAAAGGTTAATTTGTATGTATAACTCCTATACCTTTCCCAGTTACACTTAAATATCGTGTTCATTTTCTACTCATATACTTTCTTCTCTGTGCATAATAACTCAACAAATATGATTTTATCTGTTTTGAATAAAGTACAAATTATAAATATTAAAATTGAATTCTTCGGGCACTGGCACAATGGCCTAATGCCTAAATCTTCGCCTTATAAACACAGGGATCCTATAAGGGCCCCAGTTTGTGTCCTTGGCTGCTCCAATTCCAATCAAGCTCCCTGTTTGTGTCCTGAGAAGCAGTAGAGGATGGCCTAAAGCCTTAGGACGCTGCACCCACAGGGAGAACTAGAAGAAGCTCCTGGCTCCTGGTTTCAGATCAGCTCAGCTCCAGCCACTGCAGCCACTTGGAGAGTGAACTAGTGCATAGAGAATCTTTCTCTCTGTCTCTCCTCTCTGTATATCTACCTTTCCAATAAAAATAAATAAATCCTTCAAAAAAATTCTTGTCCTCTTCTAAAAAGGATCATGTTTACCATCAAGCATCTCCTTTAGTATCTATAAATCTTTTTAAAATCTACTCTGTGACAATCGCACTACTCATATCATAGTTACCTTCCTGGATCAAATAAGATAAAATTGGAAAAACAGTTTGAGAACTTTGAGTGTTAAATGCTGTACACTAATTTCATAACTATCAGGTGGTCATAACTACCACTGAGACAGTGTTGTGACACAGCAGATTAAGCTGCTAGCTATAACAATGCTACTCCACAGCTGATCTCTAGCGTTTTGGCTGTTCTGCTGACGTACTTGGGAAAACAACACAAGATGAAGCAGGTGCTTGGGCCCCAGCACCCACCCAGAGGGCTTAAATGGAAGTCCTGGATCCTGATTTAGACCTAGTCTGGCCTGGTCTGGCCAGTCCAGCCCAGCCCTGACACAACCATTGAGATAATATGGGAAATGAACAAACAGATGACAAAGCTCTATTTCTCCTTCTTTCTTGGTCATTCTGTCAAATAAATCTTTAAAAATAAATAAAACACCATTTCTAAGAATTTATCAGGTTTGTACTATTTTTGTGTTCTCCCAGTTCAAGACGTTCAATTCCTCTAAAAATACTCATAATGTAAAGTTAATCTTATTTTTTCAAAATGGTTCTTATCTAGGCTTCTTTGTCCAAACTACTAAAAACCAATTTAATATATTCTCTTTTGCAGGGCTATAAAACAGTATGTTCTAAAAGTTAGGCAATAAGAGTCACAACTATCCAGTGTATCTATACATACATTTTGATAAAAACCTCTTTCATTTCCATTTCTCTATTACACATTTCCTTTTATCTAGTAAGCATTACCTGTTCTGTGGACCATCACCAACTAAATATTCAACAATTCTATCCAAAGCACCCCGTTCTCGGGGAAGAATGGGTCTTGCTAAAGGTGGACCTGGAGGATGGAGACCTGTTAAAATAAATGATATACATAAAACTTTACTCATTTACAAAGCACCGATGTTTGATAGCACTTTGAAAGATTTTTAACCAGAAAAATACTCATTTCTATAAATCTCTGTACAAAGTTCACATTTTTATTAAAACTACTGAGCTACACAAGATATATTAAGCCACCTATATAATCTATTAGGATATGAAGTTATGTTCGGTTCTATTCAAGTTAATTTTTAAAATATCTTAACTAACTCTTAAAGGTGTTTATAATGATAAAGAAATTTCATCTTGTATTATAACAGAATAATGGGTCAGATTTGCCTTCCTATCTGAAACAACTAAAACAATGTACAAAATGTATGAAATAACAGTTTTAAAGACTGGATTTCAAGCAATATAAGTTAATGTTCACCTAGAGATTAAAAACAAAAAAAAAACATATTACAATTACCCATGCTTATTACCTGGAGTTTCCAGGTATTAAGGCTAAAAAGAAAGCAGTTTAAATACAGCTGTCTCCCAGAGACAGCTCAAACCATAGGGAGGTCCAAGTGACCCAAGTTCACAGGGAAAAATACCAAAGAGGAAAGAAGATGCAAAGAAGGAACACCAAAGAATGAAGATGAAAGAACTGGGTAGTGCCTGTGACAAAATTACCTGAGAATAAAGAACTATCCAGAAGGATGAAAGCAAACAGTGCTCACAAAAGGTCAGTAACACCACCAGCAAGAAAGGAAAATCTCCTGACACACAATTCATTGTGTAAGATATCTAGAAGAGTTTTGCACAGAAACTCTCAAAATCACCAGTATACACCCAGGTGAAGTTAATAACTTAGAGTATCAATTCAAAAACTAGAAAACACATGAATAAGCAGGAAAATATCACCTAAAATGAGGAATTACAAATTAAAAATCACACCAGAAATGACACAGATGACTGAATTAGCAGACATGAATATAAGAGCACTCGCCATGACTACAGAATCTAAAGAACCAAAAGGTAAGAGTAAGAATGCTAAGTACAAATACAAAAAAAAAAAAATGTTTTTTAAACACTTAAGCTGAATTTCTGTGGATGAAAACTTCCTGCATAAAAATTCTACAGATGTGATAAACAGAAATTCAGAAACTGTAGGGAAAAAAGATTGGTGAATATGAAGAAAGATTAAAATTTTTTAAGTGAACAAACCCTAACAAACTTTAGAGCAACCATAGTCTAATATCTGTATAACTGAAGTTCATGAAGAAAAACATCTGGAGAAATAATGCCAGGACAAGCATTTGTTATAGCAGGAAAACCACTATTTCAAATGCTCACATTCAAATAGGAGTGCCTGGGTTAAAAATCTAACTCTGATCCCAATCCCAACTTCCTGCTGAGGCACACCCTGAGAGGGAACAGGAGTTCAGTCCCTGTCGTTCACGTTGGAGAACTGGACTGAGCTCCCCAGCTGCTGTGGGCATTTGAAGAATGAATCAGCAGCTGGTACTCTCACTGTTTCTTCCTCTCCCTCCCTTTCTTTTCTTTCTCACAAAATTCTGGGTTTTGAAAAAAAATGTCAACCCAGAATACTTCACCTAGTAACTCCATCTGGCTTCACACCAGCTCAGCCCCAGCCATTGCAGTCACCTGGGGAGTGAACTAGCAGACGGAAGATATTTTCTGTCTCTCTTTCACTTTGTAAATCTTTCTAATAAAAACAAATCTTTTAAAAAAAGAAACAAATAAAAATCAAGTAATAGTAACCATGCACATAAAATAATTTTAAGATAAAACCTGTAAAAACAAAGAATGTCAACATATAATTATCAAGAGATTAAGTATTCAATAAGGAGATACAAAAGTAGTAAATGTATATGTACCCAATCTTTCAGTACACAATATTGCAAAGCAAACATTATTAGACCTAAAGAGAGAAATGAGTAACAAATCTTAAATTTTAAAATTAAATTTTAAAAAAATCCGAGTAAAATAAAAATAACAAAATAAAACACTGAAAACTACACAAACACATGAAAGCTGAACAACATGTTCCTGAATAATGCCTCACTGAAGAAAAAGTTAAACAAAAAATTCTAATGTTTCTTGAGGGACAGTATTTCTCCTATCAGTAAAAGGCACATTCATCCCACATAAGTCTGGATCCAGCTCTTGACTCAGGTTACCTGCCAGTGTAGACCCTGATAGGCAGCAATGACCTCTTCAGGAACTGGGTTATGAAGACCTAGAGTGACTGCAACTCTGTTTCAGCCCTGGTGTGGCCTCAACCTTTGCGGGCGTTGAGGAAGTGAATCGGCAGGTGGGATCTCTATATTTGTTTTTCTCCCTTTGGCCTGCTCATACAGACATACGCAAATACATAAAAATTAACATAAACATTAAAACTTCCTTAAAATCAATGAAAATGGAAATACAGCATACCAAACCCTATGGGTCACATTAAAAGCAATACAAAGAGGGAAGTTTATAATAGTAAATGCCTGCATCAAAAAGTCTAGTTATCAGAGCTAACATGGTAGGTGAAGCAAACATCACTCAAGACACCAGAGTTCATAGGAGCTCAGGTTTGTGTCCTGGCTGATCCAATTTCAATCTAGCTCCCTACTAATGGCCTGGTAAAGCAGTGGAAGATGGGCCCGGTGGCGTGGTTAGCGGCTAAAGTCCTCGCCTAGAACGCACCAGGATCCCATATATGGGTGCCGGTTCTAATCCCGGCAGCTCCACTTCCCATCCAGCTCCCTGCTTGTGACCTGGGAAAGCAGTCAAGGACGGCCCAAAGCTTTGGGACCCTGCACCCGTGTGGGAGACCCCGAGGAAGTTCCTGGATCCTGGCTTCAGATCAACATAGCATCGGCCGTTGCACTCACTTGGGGAGTGAATCATCGGACAGAAGATCTTCCTCTCTGTCTCTCCTCCTCTCTGTATATCTGACTTTCCAATAAATAAATAAATCTTAAAAAAAAAAAAAAGCAGTGGAAGATGACCCATGTGTTTAGGTTCCTGCTACTCATGTTGAAGACTTGGATAAAGCGCCTGACTCCAGGTTTTGACCTGTCTCAGCCCTAGCTGCTGTGCCCATCTGGGGACCAGCAGTTGGAAGACCACTGTCTCTCTCTAACACTTTCAAATAAAAAAATTTTTCAAAAAAATATATGAAATAAACAATATAACACCACATTTTGAAAACCTGGACAAATCTAAAGCCAATAGAAGGAAAGAAAAAAGATCAGGGCAGAAACTAAAGAAACAACATAAAGGACATTTAAAATGAAGAATTGATTCTTCGAAAAGATAAACAAAATGAACAAAATTATAGCTAGACTTAAGAGCAGTTGCCATAACTTATTTCAGAAAAATACAAAGAATTATTGCAGACTGTTATGAAAACCATATGCCAAGAAACTGAAAATCCAAGAAGAAATGGATAAATTTTGGACACAAAATCTGTCAAATATGAACCATGAGACAGAAACTCTGAATAGACCAACAATGAATATGGAGATTGATTTAGTGACTGAAAGTCTCCCAAGCCAAAAAAACCCGGGGGATCTGGCAACTTCACTGCTGAGTTCACCAAGATTCTACAGAAGAACTAACACCAATTCTCTTCAAAAATTTGAAAGGGGGAAATCATTTTATAGGGCTACATTATTTTAATCCCAAGCCAGATAAGGACACAACAACAACAAAAAGAAAATTATAGATCAACATCCCTGATGAATACAGATGCAAAATTTCTCAACAAAATACCAGTAAATCAAATATAACAACACACCCAAAAAATCATTTATCATAATCAGGAGGCATTTATCCTACAGGTTATACAGAAGGAGCTTAACATCCACGAATCACAAGAGACCAAGCCAACAGAACAAAGAATACAATCAAAGAGTATCTCAACAGACACATAAAAAGCATTCAATTAAGTTCAAGATCCAGCCATGATTAGAACCTGAACACATCAAATATAGAAGCAACATAACTAAACATACAGACTATATATGACAAAACCATAGCCAACATCATATTAATGAGGAAAAGTTAAAGCATTTCCTCTAAGACCAAGCTCCAAACAAAAATATACAGTTTCAGAACTTTTACTCAATACATACACAGCAATTTTAGTCAGAACAATTAAGCAAGACAAATAAATAAAAGGCATAGTAATAGAAAAGGAGGAAAGCAAGTTACTCCTATATATAGGTGACATAATTCTATACAGAAACCAAAAGACACTATCAATAAACTGCCAGAAATAATAAATGAACTCAGTAAATTTGCAGGATCCAAAATCAACACACTAAAACCAACAGCATATTTATACACCTGTAGCAAACTTGTCAAGAAACACTGGGGCAGGTGTTTGGTGCAGTGGTTAGGACACTGCTTGCGACACGCACATTCCATATGAGAAATCCTGGCTTCCACTCCCACTACCAGCCTCCTGCTGATATCTACCCAGGAAGGCAGCAGGTGACGGATCAAGTTCTTGGGTTCCCGCCAATGTGGGAGAGCCAGATTGAATTCTTGGCTCCTATTCCAGCCTGGCCTCGCCATGGTTGTTGCATGTATTTGAGAAGCAAACTAGTAAATGGACCTCTGTTTCTCTGCCACTCGAATAAATGGTAAAGCTTAGAAAGAATTTCATTCTGCATAGTTACAAAAATATGTAATAAAACACCTTTGATCAAACTAACCAAGCATGAAGAACAGCTCTACAATGAAGCTTACAAAACACTATTTAAAGAAATGGAAAAAATACAAAAAATTGGAAACATCTTCCATGTACATGGCTTAGAATATCATTTAAATGTCTACACATTTAAATTCTACCTACAGCAATTTACACATTTGATGCAATCCTCATCACAATCATAGCACTAAAAAAGAAAAAAACAACAAAAAATGACTAAATACATAGGAAAGCACAAATGACTTTAAATAGCCAAACCAATTTTAAGCAAAAAGAATGAAGTTGAAGGCATCACAATACCAGATTTCGAGACTTAC